GGTTTAGGGGTTTAGGGTTTATCCCCTCTCATGCAACAACCCTGCCGGCAGCTCGGATCGAATCGCACGATGAAATTGAGGGTTTGTTGCAATAGGTTGGCACGTCGGAATACTTCACAGAATAGGGGTCTACCTTAACAACCGCAACCAAACTGTGGTCTTCATCATTAACCTACATCACCGGTTTCTCCTACTTCAAAGTCCTAGTTGCAACACTCCAACGAAGCCAACTTCTAAGCCCAAACTCCAAACTCCTTCAACTGCACATCTACTCTCCACCTATGCTGTACCCTTTAAGCCCTTAAACCCAATACCAGCGCCTGAAGCACCAGCAGATACCCCAAGGGAACGTAGGCCAAAAGTAGGTACTCTAAACCCTACCTTAACCCTGCCTGAAGCACCAGCAGATACCCCAAGGGAAAGCAGGCCAGAAGTAGGTTGAATGGACGTGCACGGCGGTCTGAGAAGCTCTTGGACATCAGTGACCAAACTAAGATCTCCTGTTAGGGTTTTTAGGGTTTATTGTTTAGGGTAGGGTTTTCTAAAGTTAGGCTGGGGGAGTTCCTTACTGTTTATGGTTTGGGGCTTAAACGGGCTCAGGATTTAGGGTACTTTCTGGGCTTTCAAGCAAGGCTTTGGGATTCGCTGGTTAGATAGCGTTCAATGTTTTCAAGTTGAGCTTTCAGACTCAGTTTTCAGGGTATGGGTTGAGGGTTTAGAGGGTTTAGCATTTCGAGGTTTGGACTGGGAGGTTAAGCTTTTTCAATTCCCGGTCCAACTTAAGGCTCACGGGTCATACTGGTTTCAAGGGCAATGGTTGAGTGGGCTCGCAACATGCTAAGCAGGGTGCATAAGCATAGGGCTCTGACGGTTGTCATATTGGACTTTTGTGGAGCTGGTGGGGCTTAACCCAAAGGGTCCATGTAGGTATATGGTATATACAAGGGGTTCCCATATACCTACTTTAAGGCCCAAGTATAGCCCATTTACCTACATGGACCCTTTGGGTAAGGTTAGGGCCCAAAAGCTTCCGAAATCGCTTTTTTCAACTCAGTCATCCCAAGCCCGATATGGGATTTCCAAGATAGGAGCCTCTTTTTGGGAGCCCCTGTAAGGATGATAGCATGAAACCCTACAGAACACCCATAGGAACCCTAAACCCTGGAGCCCTAAAACCCAACCCCGAATCCTGAACCCCGAAACCTGAAACCCCAAACCCAACAACCTTAAATCCTGAACCCTCAAACCCTAAACCTTAAGCCCAAAACCTAAATCCCTAAGCCCTAAACCCTAAACTTAAGCCCTAAACCCTTAATCCTAAACCCTAAGCCCTAAACCTTAAACCCTAAACCCTAAACCCTGGAAGATGCTCCGGAAGTAGCATCACGTAGCCGTCAGAGAGTCCCTCACTCACGACATGGGCCCACCTAAGGTTGAGGGGATTTAGGGTTTAGGGTTTAGGGTTCAGGGTTTAGGGTTCATGGGCCCACCTAAGGTTGAGGCTTGAGGGTTTTAGGTTTTAGGGATTTAGGGTTTGGGGTTTGAGATTTAGACAAGGGCCCCAGAAACCCCAAACCCCAAAACTCCAGAAACCCTAAACCCAAAAAACTCCAAATCCAAAACTCTAAAATCTTCCAGAAGCGCTCAAAATACCTAAACCATACCATGATTGCATATGGGTTGCATAAAGAGAACACCGGGATGATATCAGTATCTATTCAGGCTTATACATGATGTGGTGCAAGCTGCTGGAGATCTTGGGGCCAGTTCTCGAAGGAGCGCTCGCCCAGGAAATACAGAGGTGCTGAGAGGTTCCTCAGGATCTGAAGCTGGAGTTTCCAAAAATCACCGGTACCCAATAAGGCCCCAACATACTCGATAATCCTTTTCACAGAGACTCTCATAAAAAAGGCCACTGAAATTTGGGGAACTCTCAATTTGCCCTGAATTTGGGGACCGGGATCTTTCAGTTTGAGATATTAGGTTGAAGCCTACCTAGAGATTTGGAAGCTTTGAGACCCTGTTTAGGGCTGGGGGTGCCGTAAATTGTGATGTAGGGTTTTGGGTGTAACCATCTGAGAAGCATGATAGAACAGGGTTTAGGGTTATCTTGGAATAGTGTGCTGGGAATAGGTTTGGCTTAAAGACTTCAGAATACACAAGGCCCATAATTAGGACAGCCCTGCGGTTTCATCCATATTCAAATAAGTTGTGAAGGGGGAAGTGGGGAAGGAATACAGGTACGATTATTGTGGTGGTGTATATATATATATATGAGGCTTGTTCAACAGGGATCGACTTCCTCTCAAGAACAATACAACAA